CAACTCCTGTTCCCAGGTAATCAATAGTTCCATCTCCTGTTCCCAGGTAATCAATGGTTCCAACTCCTGTTCCCAGGTAATCAATAGTTCCATCTCCTGTTCCCAGGTAATCAATGGTTCCAACTCCTCTTCCCAGGTAATCAACAGTTCCATCTCCTGTTCCCAGGTATTCAATGGTTCCAACTCCTGTTCCCAGGTAATCAATGGTTCGAACTCCTGTTCACAGGTAATCAATGGTTCCAACTCCAGTTCCCAGGTATTCAATGGTTCCAACTCCTGTTCTCAGGTAATCAATGGTTCCAACACCTGTTCTCAGGTAATCAATGGTTTCAACTCCTGTTCCCAGGTAATCAATCAACTCCTGTGATCAGGTAATCAATAGTTCCAACTTCTGTTCTCAGGTAATCAATGGTTCCAACTCCTGTTCCCAGGTAATCAATGGTTCCAACTCCTGTTCCCAGGTAATCAATGGTTCCAACGCCTGTTCTCAGGTAATCAATTGTTCCAACGCCTGTTCCCAGGTAATCAATTGTTCCAACTCCTGTTCCCAGGTAATCAATTGTTCCAACGCCTGTGCTCAGGTAATCAATAGTTCCAACTCCTGTTCTCAGGTAATCAATGGTTCCAACTCCTGTTCTCAGGTAATCAATGGTTCCAACTCCTGTTCCCAGGTAATCAATTGTTCCAACTCCTGTTCCCAGCTAATTAATAGTTCCAACTCCTGTTCCCATGTAATCAATGGTTCCAACTCCTGTTCTCAGGTAATCAATGGTTCCAACTCCAGTTTCCAGGTAATCAATGGTTCCAACTCCTGTTCCCAGTTTCAGTTGTAATAAACAATGTGTAGGACGTGTACACTCTGCTCTAATATCTGAACAATACATTTAATTTGAGTAATTAATAATATATTAGATGCCATTATTTTTCCACTTAGTTTGGTAATTATTAATTTCTTCTTAATTGTTTGGTTTTTTACAAAGTTTCTAGAATAAACACATGGTCATGGACTCTTATACATCTAAATTGACAAAAATTTGATCGAAAACTTATCAGGAAAACTGGAAAACAAAAGTGAAATAATAGGATTTTTGAAAATTTTAGAATACTGATTTTATAAATTCGAATATTATGGATTATCCACCAATTTCAAAATTCTCAAAACACCGCAATTTTCGGAATTTTAAACACAACCAAATGAAGTTTTTAAGCATTTTTAGAAAGCTGAAATTGTTATTGGACATTTCCATCGCGTTTTTACGTAATTTTTTTATTTTAGAAGAAATAATTACTATTAGATTTTTACTAAGAAGGATTCGTCAGCCAAAAAGCTCCCATCAAGAGATGAGTAAGGGAATGTCACTAAGCCAAACAATATTTTTGCCAAATCTCAGGCATTCAGTTTCTTTTCGAAAAAAAACCTTGTTAACGTTTAAATAGGGATGGTATATATTTACTCTATTATAAGACTTATTCTAATCAAATCCCAGAATCCGCCAATTCCAACCATGAAAATCCGCCAAATATAAGATATTAAACCGGTTTCAAAAACCCAACTTTGTGGAAAATTAGTAGGAACTTAAATCCCAATTGGTCTCAAGTTAATGACAGCTTAGACCTGAGTTTAATCTATATTAGAAAACAAGACATTCGTTTATATATATGTTGTGTATAGCCCGCCAAACGGCTGGACCGATTGGGCTGACATTTTTGTGAACACTCAGGTATGGCCGGGGGGTGTTATAGGCTGAAAAATCGAAATATATTTTTTTCAAAATAAAAAAATTAAATTTTTAAATATTTTTTAACATTAAAAAAAATTTCCACGGGCAACGCCGGGCTTTTCAGCTAGTTATTATTTCAGTAACATGTTTAAGCGATAAGATGGTTTTTCTATTGAATAAAATTAGGTCATTAGGTCTATTTAAAAATATTTTTTTTTCTTATTTTTTATTTCCTTTTTTTCTACTTTAGGCTGCCCCTTATCATGCTGTTATCCAGTTTAACACAAAAAACCGAGTCAAGGAACTTTAAATACATATTTATTTAAATTTATAAATTAATATTTTAAATTTAGTTTTTTTTCTTCATTTTTATAATAAATATGGATTAGAGAGATGATGTGGAACCAAGAGTTATAGTGCAAGAAGAAACTGTAAGTTAACATAAAAAAATCTATTCGAAAAATGTATAATACTGAATAATATGTTCTGAAAAATGTTTTAACCCACTAGCGGCTGAAGAATTTTTTATACTTTTCTTTGAAAATTTGATTAAGAATACTTATTATTGGTTAGATCAAGGAAAAAAGTAAAAAATGCAAAAAAAAATTTTAAAGGTGTTTTTTNAACTGTGTTTAATGGTATTAACCAGTTACCACTCTCAGATAAACTGTGTTTAATGGTATTAACCAGTTACCACTCTCAGATAAACTGTGTTTAATGGTATTAACCAGTTACCACTCTCAGATAAACTGTGTTTAATGGTATTAACCAGTTACCACTCTCAGATAAACTGTGTTTAATGGTATTAACCAGTTACCACTCTCAGATAAACTGTGTTTAATGGTATTAACCAGTTACCACTCTCAGATAAACTGTGTTTAATGGTATTAACCAGTTACCACTCTCAGATAAACTGTGTTTAATGGTATTAACCAGTTACCACTCTCAGATAAACTGTGTTTAATGGTATTAACCAGTTACCACTCTCAGATAAACTGTGTTTAATGGTATTAACCAGTTACCACTCTCAGATAAACTGTGTTTAATGGTATTAACCAGTTACCACTCTCAGATAAACTGTGTTTAATGGTATTAACCAGTTACCACTCTCAGATAAACTGTGTTTAATGGTATTAACCAGTTACCACTCTCAGATAAACTGTGTTTAATGGTATTAACCAGTTACCACTCTCAGATAAACTGTGTTTAATGGTATTAACCAGTTACCACTCTCAGATAAACTGTGTTTAATGGTATTAACCAGTTACCACTCTCAGATAAACTGTGTTTAATGGTATTAACCAGTTACCACTCTCAGATAAACTGTGTTTAATGGTATTAACCAGTTACCACTCTCAGATAAACTGTGTTTAATGGTATTAACCAGTTACCACTCTCAGATAAACTGTGTTTAATGGTATTAACCAGTTACCACTCTCAGATAAACTGTGTTTAATGGTATTAACCAGTTACCACTCTCAGATAAACTGTGTTTAATGGTATTAACCAGTTACCACTCTCAGATAAACTGTGTTTACTATGATGGTAAAAACACAACAAGTGTTAAATTATTTTGATTTTTAAAACAGTAAATTGGATACATAGATAAAATGTATTAAACATCCTTTAAAGCATGAGTATTAAAAGCTTTAACATAAAAGGGACTGTACACTTAACTTCAAATGACTCTTCATTAGAAAATAGTGGCATGTCCGATTTGCATTGGTACCCTTTAAAGATTTCTCAGCTCAATAATGAATGAGATATCCATGATTAGTCTTTGGTTTATTTTCAATTGTCGTTTTTCTATTGTGCGAATTAGCTGGACTTGTCAAGTTACAGTGATAACCAGAAATCAATGGAATAGGAAGACGACATTAAAGCAATACTTAATTGCATTTGAGGTTGTTATGTGATGTTCTTTCGAATATTTGAATCAAAACAAACAATTTAAAAATTGATAGATTTCAGTCTAAGTATCAATTGGACCTTTTGATGAAATTTATAAGACTTGTAATATTTCACAGTGTGCTCGCAGAATTGAATAACAGGAATTTAAAGTTTGATTTATTGACATATAATATTTACAAGTTAAAAATTTGATAAAATTCGAACAAGTATAAAAGGTGCATAAAAATATATACGTTCAAAACGAGCCCAGTATTTTAGGACAATTTAACCAGTATAAAAGATGCATAAAAATACATAAGTTTAAAAACTAGCCCAGTTTATAAGGAAAATTTCACAAGTATAAAAGATGCATAAAAATATTAAGTTGAAAACAAGAAGATTTTAGAGAGGGAGGGTTTAGGGGAATATAAATATATAGAGAGACCTGGTTTGAAGAGTAGTAGTAGTTCTGCCTGTGAACCCCAGACTGAATCTACTACGGAAAGGTGGCCTTTTTATACGGCCTGGTATTGCATAATGATGATGAAAAACTATTTCATGGCTTATTAAATTACTATAATTAAGTAAAATGGGTCGTTAAAACCAAAGAGAATAGAATATATATTAGAGTCGAATTTACTAGAATAAAGTGTAAAACGGCCCTTTTGTTGCACTGTTTCCACTTTCCATACTGCAGGTGTACTTCACATATTTATGCTATATAACCTTTTGGGCCCTGGAATATCATTTTATAGAAAATCTAAAATTATTGTTAAAAGAAAACCAAATTATGAAATAGGCTGGTTTCATAATTGACCAATGATCGTTTCAAATAGACTCTATGCCTTTCACTTTACAAACGATGATTTTCCGTTATAACTATAAATCAAATGATTGTTTTTATTATAAAGTTTATTAAACAGCTTTAAAAAATTCGAAATTGAAATGAATAGTCTAGGGAACATACTGTATTAATGTACTCTACTGCATATAATTTGTGAACATTTACATGATTTGCACACTTTGAACTCCCTTTCAGGCTGAAAGGGACTGAAAAAATTCATACCGAGAGATTCTCTAAATTCCCATCTAATATATATTCTATTCTCTATGGTTAAAACTCTTCAATTGCTGTGTCTCATGTCCATTGGACTATTTAGAGTCATAATTTGTGCCTAAAAAGTCGTCTTCCTTTTCCAGAGGTTTCTGGTCATCACTGTAGAATAAGGAAGAGAACGCTTGAAGGGTACCCTAGTTAATCGGCAATGTTCCAATTTAAGTGAAGGTTCACTTCAAACTGAAACGAAAGTTTCTTTAATTATCACAAATATTGACGGGTCCCAGATGGCCGTTTTCCTTAATAATATAGTCAAATCAATGTCAACAATTTATATTTTTGTACTTTTTGCTTTTAGGAAATAGCTCCTTTTTGTGGCGCCACTCTTATAAGGTAGAAAAAGCTAAATTAAAAATAAAAAATAAAAAAAAAGAAAAAATAAAGAAGAATAAAAAACTTCTTTTTAAAAAAAATAAAGTTTGAATTTAATTGAATAAATAAATGAAAAGTTTAAATTAAAGAAATAAATAAATAAAACAAGATGTTTTTAGTGAAAAGTTTCTTTTAACGGCTGCACACTGTCTACACAGTAACAGGTGAATAAAAAAAATATTTTATTTGAATAACAGAGCTTTTTTAAAAATGAGAGCAGTTAATTTCTCGTTTTACAGTAGAAATCCATGATTTATTTTATAGAATTTTTTTTCAGATATAGATTTAAAAGTGTATAGTTCATTTCACTTTAAAAAAAAAAATAAAAAGAGAAATTGAACTATTTAAAAAGTTTGAGTTTTACTAATAAATGAAAACGCAAAATAATTTAGAGAATCGCGGAGTGTCTGCTCAGTTCCATTGCTTACAGCAGAAAATTGTAGGTATAAAATATTTTATTTTAAGTTCTACAAAAAAACATAATATATTTTGTGAAAAACGCCGAAATCTGTCTGCGTGAGTGTCCCTATTAAAAATAATATTGTGTGTTCTGGGTGGGATAAAAGAATATGAATTTGACATGAAACAATTCTTTGGTTCAATTTTTTTATCCAACCATTGTGATATTAACAAAACAAATGATATTTTTCATATATATGTGACAGATAGATTTCGATATTTTTAACCATTTTACTATTAAACAGCGAAATACCTGTTCTGATTGTGATCTCCCAGAATTTTGTATTTTGAAACTGTTTCATCTCTTAAAATCTGCCTTAACATTTTGCAAATATACGTTGTAAAGGTCACAAATACAAAATCCTTGATGGCATTTCTCATTCAAACGAAATTCAAAAGAATACAATTGTTTTTCTTGGGTAAGACGGCTTAACGGATATACCATGCTTCTAAAAGTTGCAGTGTGCAAAAAGTTGAAGGAAAAGGGTAGAAATATGAAAAAAAAAGTTTAAACTTCGGTGGGAAAATACAGCTCTCGACAATTTAACCTTTGGTTCATTTGTGGTACCGGACCAACCAATAAGCAGCTAGGGATAGAATTTCAAAAATTTTAGCTACGTCACTGTACTACCTACTTCCGGTTCAAATTTGAACCACTTATTCAAAGTTAAAGATTCAGGAATAATTTGAATCAGTGATTCAAAGGAATTAAATCTTTGACACAAAATCAAATTTTCTAATCCCCAAATCTTCGCACATTGATGGTGTAAACCTTTGATATTTCAAACTAAGATTATTTGATCTAACAGACTTCACTATTTGACAAATCTAAGGACTACCACATTAGAAAATCAGAGTTTGTGGCAAAGACTCAATTTGTTTGAACTGGCAGAAGGCAGTTCAGCTACCCAGACAATTCATTAAATTCGGTCCCACGGTAAGTTATAAAATATACAAACAGACTATCTTGAGATAAACGTGACAGTAAACCAAATAAATCATTTACTTCTAGTGAGATTAAAATGCTTTTCCTAGTGTATGTAGGCAACCCTTGTACAGGTGTTATTATTTCAGACCTAATTGTCCAATAGGATGTCACAGAGTTCTCCCCTCAGAACTCCAGGTAGAGTTGGGAATATCATACTTCATATCACGGGGATATAAAATAGATCTTGGGGATATAAACTAGATCTTGGGGTTATAAACTATAGATCTTGGGGATATAAACTAGATCTTGGGGATATAATCTTGATCTTGGGGATATAAACTTGATCTTGGGGATATAAACTATAGATCTTGGGGATATAAACTTGATCTGGATATAAACTAGATCTTGAGGAAATAAACTTGACCTTGGGGATATAAACTTTGGGATATAAACTAGATATTGGGGATATAACATGATTTTGGGGATATAAACTTGATCTTGGGGATACGAAATGGATCTTTTGGAAATAAACCAGATCTTGGGGATATAAAATGGATCTTCGGGATATAAAATAAAACTTCGAGATATAAACTTGATCTTGGGGATATAAAATAGAACTTCGGGATGTAAACTTGATCTTGGGGATATTAAATAGAACTTCGGGATATAAACTTGATCTTTGGGATATAAAATAGAACTTCGGGATATAAACTTGATCTTGGGAATATAAGCTTGATCTTAAGGATATAAACTAGATCTGGGGAATGTAAATTAGCTGTTTTAAAACAACTCTTAGATCTCTATCGGAAATTTAGACTTTTAGCTCAGATTTTTCCTTTAGTTTGTAGCTTGATCCAATTTTAACACTTAATAACTTCAGGTATTCTTTGGGATGACGAGCTTAAAAAACTCTTTTGCCCAGCCCTCATCTGTCAGAAAAATACACTTGCACCCCGGATGGAACCTCAGGTATAAAAAAATTTAACATAAATATTAAAAAATAAACATCTCAATTTTTTTTGGTTTTTGTGACCCTCCATTAAAAAAGGCATGGCTGATTCACAACGGTACCTTGTCGGATCAAGAATGAACTAGGAGTCCATGTTTTTGTTTTTGAAAACACAATCTAAGAAAACTATAGTATATTCCACAATATTGATCAGATTAAGGTGTAAACGGTACAGTTGTTAATTGGGCATGCAAATGCCCCTTTCTTTTTTTAAATTAAAATTACGACGACAGTCCCTTTAAACAGATGTATTCTAGTTCTACAGTCCCTTTACCAAGATGTATTCTAGTTCTACAGTCCCTTTAACAAGATGTATTCTAGTTCTACAGTTCCTTTAACAAGATGTATTCTAGTTCTACAGTTCCTTTAACAAGATGTATTCTAGTTCTGCAGTCCCTTTAACAAGATGTATTCTAGTTCTGCAGTCCCTTTAACAAGATTTATTTTAGTTCTACAGTCCCTTTAACAAGATGTATTCTAGTTCTACAGTCCCTTTAACAAGATGTATTCTAGTTCTACAAAAGTCCCTTTAACAAGATGTATTCTAGTTCTACAGTCCCTTTAACAAGATGTATTCTAGTTCTACAGTCCCTTTAACAAGATGTATTCTAGTTCTACAATCCCTTTAACAAGATGTATTCTAGTTGTACAGTCCCTTTAACAAGATGTATTCTAGTTGTACAGTCCCTTTAACAAGATGTATTCTAGTTCTCGAGACAATGATATTCTGAAGGGTCATGATATTGCTCTCCTGGAAATGACAAATCCTGTCTCCTTCTCAGATGCAATATGGCCGGCCTGTCTTCCAGGAACAACAATTAAATATAGAATCATGGGCAGCGGTTTGTTTTATTCGTTTTAAAACATTAAAAAAGTTTCCACAAAAATCTGAGATTTTTTGTATATATTTCAGAATTGCATGCTCAAAAAGTTTGTTGTTAATACAAGAAGTAAAACGTTTACTCTGACAGAAGATAAAACAAAACTATTTTTCTATTCATCATTTTTGAAAAAAGCAAGAGTTTAGACCAATTGCAACTTTGCACTATATCAAAAAAAAAATTGTAAACCCTTGTAAACTGCAGAACTCTTTTTAAACCCCTTTTTTGTAAACTTAAATATCCTGGTAAGACTGCATAATAACAACATTTTTGTGTGTTTTTTTATATAAGTTATTATACTTATTCGGAAAAAGACTGCGGACTATTTTTATTGTTACAATATTTTTTGAAAATATTTGGATTTCTAAATGGATAATTGATAACTGTGTTTGTTATCAAAAGAATCATAAAAATGTCTTGTTTTGTTATTGGAAGATAATTTTAGTTGGTTATATCAGGACCTGCTGATACATACCTAATGGAGGCAGAAACCCCAGTTTCTGTGGTCGGGTTCGGCATGGTCAATGTGTCATCTAAAGCCAACTCAGACATCTTACAAATGGCGAAAATGAAGGAAAAATCCCAAAAGCATATCAATGATTTAAGTATTTTTCATTTAATGGGGCCGGGGACAAGATTGTTTAGCTTTCACATGAGACCAATCATTGCTTGAACCGAACCAATATAAGTCTAGGGTTTACTCGTACCAGCCTGTCTATTGTTCATAGTATAGTTGACCCAGCCCGTCTATTGTTCATAGTATAGTTGGACCAGCCCGTCTATTGTTCATAGTTTAGTTGACCCAGCATGTCTATTGTTCATAGTATAGTTGACCCAGCCCGTCTACTGTTCATAGTATAGTTGACCCAGCCCGTCTATTGTTCATAGTATAGTTGACCCAGCTCATTTATTGTTCATAGTATAGTTGACCCAGCCCGTCTATTGTTCATAGTATAGTTGACCCAGCACGTCTATTGTTCATAGTATAGTTGACCCAGCACGTTGTCTGCCACAAAAATAGACAGACTTTGAGCTTCTATATCTAGTGAATAGCCTGCAGGATCCTATTGGCTTAAATTCCGGCATGAAAAAAAAACATATTTAAAAACCTCCTCCCCTCCCCCTGTAAAGTGTGATGAAAATTATGCTTTTGTAATTTTGGACTTCAGATGGTTTCCAAAAAAAACTGCAACTCTAAACAAATCTGGAACATTCAGGGAACACAGATATGTGCTCTAGGCAAGTATATATGGTCTTACAGGTTTAGCAAAAACTTGGCAAATTTTTACTGATATTATTCTGCTCTGGCACAAAGATTTTTTTTACATAATTATTTTTTATTTTAGATTTAACAACATTTTATATAAATAATTAGGTGATAGTAGATACAAATATTTTGACATTTTTATATTCCTTTTTTCCATTTTCTTCTACATGTTTAGCTAATTTTGAAAAAAAAAACCTCTGCCCCGAAGTATATTTGTAGATTTTCTTTCTTCATGTTAATTTATTACCTTCTTTTCTTGAAAATTTATATTTTATCCTTTATTTTCATTTTTATTTCAGGGGACGGAGACACCATCTTAGGATGCAAGACAGACTCATGCAAAGGGGATTCAGGTGGTGGACTGATTGCTTCTAGGTCAGCAAGATAATCTTAACTTTTGATACAACTATATGTTTTGTTATCATTAGATCCATATTATCTATATATATATTATAATATATGTTACAAATAATTACAAAGTTGCAAGCCGTGTTCTTTCATACCATAATTTCAAACAAATTATTAATTTTTTCATTTCTGAAATTTATCTCTTCGTAAACTAATAGTTTTTTATGTTAGGTTCGGGATGAGAACCATAATTGGAATTGTTTCATTTGGAGAAACATTTTGTGGAGATGGTCCAAACCCAAGGTACTCCATTATTTCTTTTCAATATTTGAGTTTAGTCTTTCTTCATGGAGCCACACTCATGTGTAAACAGGTCTGAAGTATATGATATTTTAGGATCAAAGGTTCTTTAAAGATATAACTTTTATCTCAATTTTAGACCTGGAGTTCATACAAATGTTCTTGATCACATGCCATGGATCGTAGCCACCATTCAAGGACTCAACTATACAATGATAGGTTTAATTCATAATTATCAATATTTATCAGAAAGTTTGTAAAATGATTAAAAAGCTGTTGTATATGTGAATGTGAGTGCATGTTTGTAACAGATTTCAACAGCATCCTGGGAAGGCTCAATAGTGTTAAATTTTCTAATTTTAGATAACAAGATTAGCACAGTTGAATCTTCTTTTACTGATTCTTCATTTGCGGATTCTTCCTTCTTCACAAGACCAAAGATACCCCCCCTAGCCCCAGGATTCACCAGCACATCATCGTTTATTAAGGATGGTTCATCTCAATCCTTTATCAAGGATGGCTTATCATCAAGCTCCGTCATGAATAGGCCAACATCAACTTTTGTTACTGATGGTTCATCATCATCCTTCATGAAAGATGATTCAATGCCATCCTTTATGAAAGATGGTTCAACATCAATCTCTGAGTTCTCCAAACCTTTGACAGTACCAACATGGACATCATGGTCCTCCTGGAGTGCTTGTTCTGTTACTTGTGGATCAGGAACCAGAACTAGACAAAGGGCTTGTATACACCCCAGTTTCCATCAGGTAGAGTTAACATGTATACATATCTTGTAAAGATGATATGTCCAATAATTGATAACCAGGTTTTTGCCTAGCTTAAAGCTTGAGAAAAATTACATAAGATTTCCGACCTATCCATGACTCTACCGCCAAACAAATCTTTTTTATTCAGAGTGAAGATACTAGAAATGGACCCCATCATGCTCAATGCCCAGGTGGCAAGGAACAGGTTACAGTTTTCATTATTTTAATTTCTTAAAATTCTCTTTTTCAATATTCAAATTTATTTTCATCTGTACATTGTTCGATATTTAGTATCAAGAGTGTAGTATAAACCCCGAGAGCAGATGTTCTGTACCACTTCAGCAGCCAGGTCTGTAGGTTTTCATTGAAAAGAAGTTAACAGGATTTAAAAAATATTGATGAATATCATTGATTGGTTTTGCAGGGATTGTGGGTTGGCTGTTTGATATTTTAAATCCAGTTCTGCCACCACCACCTCAACCTATCATACCGATTGGACCATCATTTGTTGAAGGAAGTTCTGCAGGTCCTGATGAACCAATTGGAGATTGCAGAATGAGCTGTGTAGGCTGGCCATACAAACAGTGTGAAGTAAGTTTAAAATAAGAATACTCTAAAAAATTACCATTGCCATAAGTACCAAGCTGGGAATTCTCCAGCTTTTTAGCCTTAGCCGGAAATCTAATGGTTAGTTATGGTTAGTTAACGATAAGGGGACATTCAGATTAGAGGCTCAGTATGCTACCCTTAATTTTACCTAATAACTAAACATTAAAATCAAATGGAATGGAAATTTTGAAAGGAAATGAATGGCAAGAATTATTAAGTCAATATGTATTTAACACATTTTTGTTATTCATCAAACCTCTAGACACAAACACAAAGTAAATTATAAAAGTTTAAAGTATTGAAAAATCTTATAAGGATATTAGTTATTCTAGAAGTTTATCCTAGAATTTATGAACTTTGGCTTAGGTGAGGTTGGTAAATCCTGATGGATTCTGGCAGTCTGCTACATGCTTGAACCCCTACTACAGCAGATCAGCTCCAGAGAAATATGTCAACTATCCAAAGTAAGTAGATTAATTAATTTAGTTTTATCTGAGCCCGCGATTTAAAAAATTCGGGAAAATACGGCTCAGGTCTAAGCTGTCCTTGGGCCTTATTTATGACTTGAGCTTTCGGATTTAAGCTGCATCTTATTTCCGCAGAGTTGAGTTTAAAAAAACCGGTTTGATATTCTATCTTGTAAATTTTTATGGTAGGAATTGGTGGATTCCGGGTTTTTATGAGAACAATTCTTAGCATTGAGCCTTATTTTTTACTAAAATCAACCAAGGTTGGTTTTATTTTCTTTGGGCCTAACTCCTAAAGTCGAGTCGAAGATCTTGCAGCTGTCAATCACGTGACACAAGCTGTCGTCAGAGTTGGGTCAAATATTGTGCCTTAAAGTCGGGTTTAAGGAATTACAGCTAAAGCCGAAGTTTTTAAATCGCGGGCTCTGGTGTCCATCAGATGATGTGAGTTTTAAAACCCGATTCACAATTCAAATCAGTTTTTAACTCTTTGGACCCTGATCCAGAAATGATCCCAGCACTTACCTGGATCAAGTCCAGATTAAAACTGAATCATGCTTTAAAACTCATGGCATGGGCATTGGGCACCTCAGTTTTGAGGGAAAGTATCTTGCTAAGTAACAATCACAGAAACCATTCATTTGAAATACCAGACTGAGTTTTAAGCAGAACTAGAGATAATTGTACGGTATGCATACAGGCTATACAAGGCAGAACTTGACACTTGAATCAAATCAAATCAAATCATAAACTTATTTTTGCAGAAAAGCAATATTTATGAATTTAATTTTTACATATCACCATGTATAAAATAAATATATGAGTACGTAATCCAACAATGGGGCCCAATCCCATTCCCTGAAAAAGTACCCTCAATCCCCTCAAAACATCCATAAAAAGATCATCATAAATTATTGGATCCAGACCAACAATTTTTTCCAAAGATTTTAAGGTAAGGGGGAATCATCTTCTTCCCGAGTAATTTTTGTGCAATAATCATTTGATCCTTTAATTGTAGACACCAACATCATAATTCTGCGGAGAAACTACCTGAATAGTGTCAACGATAATCCTTTAATCATTTAATTTGTCAACCCCAACATTCTAATTCTAGGTGCGGCGAACTACCTAAAGGCTGTCAACGATGTGACGATGTGTGTGCAAGAAGAGATGGTCTACAAGACAGGAACGGATACTGATAAATGGATGATACAGTTTACCCGACTGGAATTGAAATATTAGAATCATGTCAGTTTTCAAAGAAGTCATCAACTCTACCATTGAGAACTCTGTTCATTTTTAATTCAAAACTTAAGGATTGTTAACGTTAATTGATTTTTCCATTAAGCGTAAAAAAAAACTTTTATCAGTTTACAGACCCCCCTCCCCACATCAGCTATTATTAGTTTACATACCCCCCTCCCCACATCAGCTATTATTAGTTTACATACCCCCCTCCGCACATCAGCTATTATTAGTTTACATACCCCCCTCCGCACATCTGCCATAACTGATAGTATTTTGTAGTTGTGTGAAAGTGTAATTTAAAGAGATTTTAGGCGTAATTTCAAGTTATTCTCCATTAAAAGATTGCTTTGTCTGAGACAATTTTTCTAATAAAATAAATTTCGATGTTGTATCTTTCGACCTACGCATATCAATTATAATCCACTTCTGACCTACGCCACATCCACTACGCTTCCGACCTACTTGCATGTGGTTTCTCACCTGTAAGTTGGACATGTACTTGGCCAGAGCACCCGGTTATCTAGCCTGTCCTAGCCGTGGCGCTCGGTCCCCTAGCCTGTCCTAGCCGCAACGCTTGGTCAATAAATTGTCTTAACCTATACTAACTCAAATATACAAAATAAAATATCTTTCGTAGGTCCGCTATTGAAGTAGGTCGGAAAGTTAGAAGGTCAGATATTCCGTAGAGTGGATATTGCGTGAATCAGGCATGGCCATTATTTGAATGGAGGGTCACTTAGATTTTCGACAACAGTCCCTTGCAGTTGCGGCAGCTATCGTGAAGATTTTTTGGAAAATCTAAAAATTAATATTTTTAATTAATTTACCGGGTTTTGGAATATGCTTATATTTATAGGTCTAATTTATGCACATATTTATATATTTTTATTAATAATTATTTTAAATAAAAGTTTTTAGTCGAACAGTTTTATTTATTTTATCTTTTGAAAAATCAGTAGAAAATAAAAACAATGTTTTACTTTTCTCGCTTGCTGTAATAACTAATGAAAATCAGGAAAAAAAGAATAACGTTAATTTTTAAGGAGAAAATATTCAAGATTCATAAACCGTATTTTCAAAATTTAAATAGTTTTTCTTTAGTACCAAGAGTTTTCAATTTTGAATTATTATTTTTTTCCTTCCGAAATTTTTGTATTTTTCGTTTTGATGCACATTTAATGAAATATCTATAACATATATATAAAAGGTAATCTCCTGTTTGCCTGTACTTGTTCCGATCATAGCTCAGGAACCCCTTTACCGGTTTGCCTCAAAGTGGGTTGACTTTATAAGAGAAAGTTTAGTTTTCAAGCAAAGCTGGGTTCCCAACTTCCCAACCTACTTAAAACCTAAACTAATATCTGTACAGAAACTTCTGCAAAATTTGAATTTGTTTTTATTCAGGTCTCTAAGTTATTTATAATACTTTTTTCATGGGGTAAAATTTGAATTACCTCAGTTATTCTTATGCATTCCATTACACTTGGAGGATGCGACATTTTTCATTGTTTCTATCCCCCACCCCTCCCCTCGTTCGTAATATCCCCCCCACCTCCCCTCTCTCACACCTCATTCTTATATCATGAATATTTCACGGGGAAAACATAAATCCTCGAAACATTTCTTCATGGTTCACTTCATCAAACTTTCCCATTGGCTGGAGATATCACGTGACAGGAATCCTGATCTCTCATTGGTCCGGATAAATTGGCAATAAAATACCCGCAGAATTGCAAGAAATGTCCCTACGGAGAGTGTAAAATCATTTTGTGTCTCGAGGTTAAGTTTTTATTTTCAAATTGGCTTGAAAACACCTAAGCTAGCAATGTCGATAATTTAACGCTAGTTTGCCTCGCGGGGGCCGCGTCCCTCCCTCCCCCCTACCTCATAATGCCATAGGAGTTTAAAAATGAAGGCGCAATTCTGGTTATTGATAAATGTTCAAATTGTATAATTGTTTACAATTTTTCAAGGCCAACTCATTTTTAACAACTTTAGAACTCTAAGTTTGAAATCCCGTCCTATGCAATATTTTTTTGCAAAAAAAATCTGCTAATATTATTTTCTTAAAGGGACTGTAAAGGAAAAATCAAAGGGGGTATAGGATAAAACCTGAGAATATCAGGCGTTGAACGATACATATCAGACATCTATCTGATGTTCCTGTCTCGAGAAATTGATATAAAACTGTGTCAAAATTATACGATGAATTGGATGAATGTCATAAAATTTTTACTTTTATTTTGATATAAAGTCCTAAATAGGATTAAATGTATACTTAAAGTTGTTTTTAACTTTTAATATTTCAGATACAGGTATATACATATACATGCAGTGTACATTTATAGCGTGGGATAGTTTTCATCGACTTTCAATATTTTCCGTTGGACTTTCAGGCTTTTCATAACTTAGAAGTAGACATTGATGGTTGAGCGCATACCATTTATGTGGGAATTCTGCAGAATAGGGAAACTAGGGGACTATCCCCCCTTTTTACATGCCCCCCCACATATTAATCATATTTATAACTGTACTTAGGTGTACTAAACAAATACTGAATGTAAATTTTTTTTTATGATTTTTGGTATTTATGTTAAATATGGGATGTGATTGTGTCTCCCTTCCCCTCCATGTTTATTTTGAAAACCTTTTGTTCTCTTGTGAAAAATATTTCTATAAAAGTTTCTAAAAGTTTGTGTAAGATTCAGACAACACTTAACAAATTGAACGACAATGGTAGAGAGTAGCTGTGTTATATGAGAATCCATAAAAAACGTTTTTAAATCTACAAGACCAGAAAATGGAACAGATTTTTCTTCATTTACTCCAAGTAAACATTATGTGGAGTAAAGATATACACACCCTAATCTATTTATATACAGGGTTAGTCCAGGGACAGAAAGGACTGAAAGGACCAGAAAGGACAGAAAGGACAAAAAGGACCGAAAGGACAGAAAGGACAGAAAGGACAGAAAGGACAGAAAGGACAGAAAAAACAGAAAGGACAGAAAGGACAGAAAGGACAGAAAGGACAGAAAGGACAGAAAGGACAAAAATGACCGAAAATGAGTAATGTTGAAGTAACAAAGCATTATAGACAGGTTACTAAAAGACGATAAAAGGGGGGAAAATAAGAAAAGAAAGAACTGAAAAAAGGAAAGAATGACAAAAGCTATTAAGGAAGTGAAGTCTAAGAGAAAATAATAAAATAAAAGTAAGTAAGAAAGAATTTTAAACTAGAATATGAAAAATATATTAATGATGTGGGACTTAAAAAAAGTCAAGAATAGATTAAAATTATTTTTAAATAAATAAATATTTGAAAGAAAAACGAGAATAAAAAAATACAAGAATTTTAAAGAAGTAAAGGATATTAAGATAGTGTAGATAAAACGATGGGAAAAAGGCTGAAAAATAAGAAAAATAGAAAGGGAAAAAAAACACTTTTAAAGAGACATAAAACAAAGAGAGAAATATTGTAAAAAAACAATCATAAAATAGGAAAAAGACAAAAATAAAATAAAAACCAGGAGAGAAACTACGCCACGAGCAGAAAAAGAGAAAAAGGAAAAAAAAGAAATGTTGTAAAAAGAAATTATAATAAAATATAAAAATGTTCTTGAAGAAATGATTGATGAGGGGAAGGGACCAGAAGACAAGATGACGTGAAGTCCTCGAACAGAGTTAAATAATGAAGATAGGAAAAGAACAAAGAAAACTGGAAAGGCGGGGGTGTTGTGGGGGGGGGTGTTTGGTTTTTAAAAAACGCACTTTTGATTTCATTTAACCCTTAAAAGTCTGGGGGATCTGAATTCGAATATAGCATAGAAAAAAACTAACGGTACATCGGAGAGATGTATAAAATAAAAAAATATATTTGGGAAATACTAAAATGTGGCACATGGTTTCCCCTACATTATCAATGGAATAAAAAGTTTTAGATCTGTATCTCAAATAATATAAAAGTTATGAAACATTTTAGATTTTACGAAACACTGACCGGATAATAAAAAAAATAAAAAAAACTTTTAAGGTAAAAATAGATTTTATATTTCCCCCTGTCTGAGAATAAACAAAGAATATTTCCCCCTGTCTAAGAATAAACAAAGAATATTTTTCCCCGTGTCTGAGAATAAACAAAGAATATTTCCCCCTGTCTAAAAATAAACAAAGAATATTTCCCCCTGTCTAAGAATAAACAAAGAATATTTCCCCCTGTTTGAGAATAAACAAAGAATATTTGCCCCTGTCTTAGAATAAGTAAAGAATATTTCCACCTGTCTAAGAATAAGTAAAGAATATTTCCCCCTGTCAAAGAATAAGTAAAGAATATTTTCCCCTGTCTAAGAATAAACAAAGAGTATTTCCCCCTGTCTAAGAATAAGTAAAGAATATTTCCCCCTGTCTAAGAATAAGTAAAGAATATTTCCCTCTGTCTAAGAATAAGTAAAGAATATTTCCTCTTGTCTAAGAATAAGTAAAGAATATTTCCCCCTGTCTAAGAATAAATAAAGAATATTTCCCACTGTCTAAGAATAAACAAAGAATATTTCCCACTGTCTAAGAATGAAAAGAGAATATATCCCCCTTGACTAAGAGTAAAAAAAGAATATTTCCCCCTGTCTAAGATCAAAAAAAGAATATTTCCCCCTGTCTAAGATAAAAAAGAATATTTTCCCTTGTCTAAGATTAAAAAAAAGAATATTTCCCCCTGTCTAAGATTAAATAATAAAAATATTTCCCCATGTCTAAGATTTAAAAAATAATATTTTCCCCCTGTCTAAGATTTAAGAAAAAGAATATTTATCCCTGACTAAGCTTAAAAAAAAAGAATATTTCCCCCTGTCTAAGATTAAAAAAAGAATATTTTCCCCTGTCTAAGATTAAAAAAAAGAATATTTCCCCCTGTTCAAGAGTAAACAAAAAATATTTCCCCCTGTTTGAGAATAAACAAAGAATATTTTCCCCTGTCGAAGAATAAACAAAGAATATTGCCCCCTGTCTAAGAGTTAATAAAGAATAGTTCCCCCTGTCTAAGAATAAACAAAGAATATTTCCCCCTGTCTGAGAATAAGCAAAGAATATTTGCCCCTGTCTAAGAATAAACAAAGAATATTTCCCCCTGTCT